AAACTCTTCTTTATAATACTTTAATAATTGATGTGTCATTATATACTTGTTCAAAATCCATAGAATGCACACCACCAAGAGTTAACCCTAATTTCAACTATAAACTCTGGGCAAAAATGTTTTGTTGATGAAGGATCATCAATTTAAACATATATGCATGATATTGATAATGAGTGTGTCTTTCACCTTGGTTTCACTGTGGCAACTATTGAGAAAATCAACTTAGAAGGAGAAAAGTTATATTTTGGCTCATAGTTTCTAAGTTTCAGTCCACAATAACTTGGTCCTATTGCTTTGGGCCTGAGGTGGCACTGTATATCATAGTGGTGGTGTATTGGAGGAATTTTGCTTACTTGTGATGGTCAGAAAGTGAAAATAGTAAAGGAAGGGACCAGAATCCTATATCTCTATACAAGGGCCTGGCCTCAATGACCCAATTTCCTTTCACTAGGACCAGCCTCCTAAAGGAACTCAATAGCCCACAGGCTGGTGATAAGTCTTCAACACATGGCCATAGGGTGATATTTAAGATCCAACACATACCAATTGGGGAGACTATACATCTATGGGAAAAGGGTGTATATGAAAACTGTATTTTCTGCTCAATTTTGCTGTGAACCTAAAATTGTCTATTACAAAATTATGCGCAGATATCTCAGAATCGTACAGTATGCACTTATAGTGATTTATCACTTCTTTCTTAATTAATCCATTACCTTATGAGGAGTTCCTTATTTGAATATGTAATGAGGAAAAGAAGACATGGGACTTATTTGCATATAGATCTGCATGGTATATATCAGTACCACCAAGAGATGTCTGTGAAACTCACTGGTGAAAGAATTTTTTCCCAGTGCGAAAAATATTCAATAGTATGTCTGATTTACCCATCAGTTGAAGGAGAGATGGCCTGACATATGGAACTATATTAGTCCAAGAGCAAAGGCTAACAGCTTGGATAGGTGATCGGAAAAATCAGAATCAATGACAAGGAAGTCATGGCAAGGAGGTATTTGAATGGACTTCTGGGATGGACTAACTAAGTGAAAATATTCATACCCTCTGCAATGCTGACCAGAGGACTTCCATATCAGAGGAATGTCTCAATAATCAGATGGACAAGATAATCTGTTCTGCAGGTTAGTCAGCCTCTTTCCCTGACACTCATTCAATGGAATAATATACAAAATGCACATGGTAGCATTTATGGACTCAACAATATGGTCACTACCAGAGTTGATTTGATCACTCCCACTGCTTCTGAGTGCCTCCCTGCTAACAGCACTGGTCAACACTTAGCCTCTAATGTAGAATCATTTTCAATGGGTTAGCAGGCAATCTTATGGCAGATTGATTACATTGGACCCTTCCCCTTATGAAAGAGGCAACGCCGTGTTCTTGATAGAATAGGCATACTTTCTGGATATGAATTTCCCTTCCTTGCTTGGAGAGATTGTGTCAGCCCTATTGTTTATGGATGTATAGAATGCTGTTATCCATTGCCATGGTATCACAGACAACATTTTCTCTAACCAGGGGATGCATTTTATAGTCATAGTTTTATACGCATAGAAATAATTGGTCTTATGTGCTTTATGTAGCTTAATAAAGATTCTTTTCTATGCCAAATAGGAGAAAACAACCTGCAAGATTAGGATCTTACCCTAAAGGATACAATATATATCTACAACCAGTGGCTAATAAATGTAATTTCTCTCAGTCAGGAATTAAAGGGTGAATGGGAGTGGCCTTTCTTACTATTATAGCTTATAAATTACTTGAACAATTTTTGCTTACATTTTTAGGATCTGGGTCTTAATGTGTTTGGAAATCTTAGTGTAATAATTTTTGATGTAATTCCACAGAGTAGTTTGAATGCAGTGAATACTAGCCTCATACTGTGCACGCTTGTCTGAGTAGGATGCACAAGCCAAATGTAGAAACTATCAAACTACCCGGGATTTTCTCCTAATGTGGTTTTACAAGGTCATATTTTCACTGGCTATATGACAAAGATGTTTTGAAAAATAATGTCAATTCAAATGGCAAAATAGACGATCATTTACAGTATAGAAAATAATTCTACAAACTCCATTTCAACTCAATTTCAAGGAAAAAAAGTAAAAGATTTATTTCCTCTATATGTGCAAGAAAATGCTAACTGTAGCAATAAGATTGTTTCTTTTTTAAATATTTGTTAGTTGTCATTGGACACAACATCTTTACTTTTATTTATTTATTTTTATGTGGTGCTGAGGATCGAACCCAGGGCCTCGCACAATACTGAGCCACAATACCAGCCCAAAATTATTTTTTAAACTACTTTTAGTTGTTAATGAATGAACCTTTTATTTTATTTATATGTGGTGCTGAGAATCAAACCCAGTGCCTCACACATGCTAGGCAAGCGCTTTACCACTGAGCCACAACCCAGCCCCCAATAAGATTGTTTCTAATGGCAATGTTATTAATAAATGATAATCACTAGTTTTCATATTTTCTGGGAAAGACATGCCAAAACACCATATAGGGTTCTTGATTAAACCAAAGTAGTAGTAGTCTAGTAGAGGGAAAATTAGCTTATTTGTGCTGTCCTTAAAACAATTTTATACTTGCCAAAATCTGAACAGGAATTATACTCATGCTATTTTAATGTTATCATCCTTCAATACAAAAATGATCCTAATTTCTATGAATCATTGTCTAGACAATTTTATATCCAGGAACTATAACCCTCAATAATTTTCTGTATAATCCATACATTTAAGATAGTGTAAATGAGGTTAATTGTTACTCACACATATAAATATGGAACATGGTGTTTCTCCTGGTTCTAATGAAAATTCAATAGGATATACTAGATTTTCTTTCACTTTATATTTTTGATACATGTTACAAAATGGACAGAACTTGAAAATATTATGCTAAATGAAAGAAGTGAGCCACAAAAGTCCACATATGGTATGATTTCACTTATATAAAATGTCCAGAAAAAAGAGACAGAATATATATCAGTAGTTATTGAGAGCTAGAGAGGCTATGGGATTGAGGACAAGGAGAATAAATAATATGGAATTTCTTTGTGAAGTGATTATAATGTTCTAACATTGACTGTGATAATGCTTGGATATATTTGTAAACACACTAAAATCATTGGAATTTCTCTCCTTCTGGAGATGGCCCACTTTCTCCCTAAGTATGTATTTCTTGGTTTTCTTCAAAAGTTTCTTACTCAATATGACTGGCATTCTCCCTTAAATGTGTATTTCTTCCTTTACACCCCCAAAATGTCTATTGCCTGAGAGCCCACATTCTCCATTCAATGTGTATTTGCTTTCCTAAATGTGTCTCAAAACAAAAACAAAAACAAACCATTGAATTGTATAAAGAGGTGAATCTTGAAGTATATATCTCAAGCCATTGTAAAAAGTCAGAGCTTATACATAACATTGAATACACTGTATTCATTCAGTCTCCTTTCTCCCAGGCCATGACAAACTGCTTTAATTTAACGAAATTTAGATGACACCTTTCATAAGCAATACATTATGTACCATCATTACAAGGATTAAAGATGAATCGCCTCTACATTTGAAAAAATATTTTTAGTTGCAGCTGGACAAAATACCTTTATTGATTTATTTATGTGGTGCTGAGGATCGAACTGAGTGCCTCACACACGCTAGGAGAGAGCTCTACCACTGAGCCACAACCCCAGTCCTCCCCTCTACTTTTAAGGAGAAAAAACGCAGTGTGTAGGAACTGACAATGTAATAATGATAATGATAATGGTAATAATAATAGGAGGAAGAGGAGAAAAAAAAGTAACATTTTTCGTGCATTTACTAAGTGCCAGGAACTGTGTTAAATGCTTTGAGGATTTTGTCTTCTACTAATAGTCCTATAGGTAGATATTAATGCTTTTGTTTACTGATTTTGTATATAAGAGAATTGAATCACAAAAATGTGAAATATTTACTTAGGGTGACATGCCAAGAAATGGCAGAGTAAGAATTTCAACCTAGTGCTTAGCTGAAATAAAAGGTCCTAAAAAACCAGAATCTATAAGTATTCAAAATAAATAATTCAAGGCAAACTAAGGTAAGTGCCATGAAAGAGTCAAGAAAAAAGTGCTAGAGCTAGGTGTGAGCTAAAAGAACACATCTTGTTTGCAGCTCTTGTTTGCATGAAAGACTGCTAAGTCAGTTCAACTCTAAACATATAGGTATATTTAAAGATCTGATAGTTTTCATGGGGCACTAAATAGCTATATACAAACATCTCAGATTAAATATTTCTTTTGAAATAAATGTGACTTAACTGTTAATTACTACAGAAATGTTACAAGGTTGAATGCTTAATTTTCTCCTCAAAATAAATTTTTATATTTTTATTACAAGATATAAAACCAGAACCCTGAATTCTTCATCATTCTTTTTCTCTAATCTAAACCTTCATCTTCAGCCTGAGATCTTTAAAAGTCTTTTTTTGTGATCTCAATTAAATTCCCAGTCTAGATTGAATCAATTCTTCTCATTTTTTTCTTACCTTTCTGTTTTCCCTTTCTATATTCAATGATACTTGAATGCTATGGCTAAAGCTATTCTTCTTTCTAATTATGTAAAACAAATCAGAAAGAACAACTTTAGGGTTTTTAACATAAGGACAAAACTTTGCTTCCAATATACTGACCATAGCTTAAATATTCACCTAAACTACTTAGTCTATTGTTCTTTATATATTTCTCTGGCACTTCCCTAACAGAATTTCTATATTCAATCTAAAAAATAGCATTTCTCTTCTCTATTAAGCCTCTTTGAGTGCTCTTAAAATATTCTTCCTAAACTCTTTACTAGAACACTGGGCTAATCAGAAAACTGAAATATGGTGCTAGACTACCTCCTCCCTCAGTCAGCATATAAAGACCAATGCAAAAACAATTAACATTTCTTTCAAAATGGCATAAATGATCTCAGTGTGACTTGCAGACTATAGGAAGATGTGATAAAAGATGAGTTCTTTTAATGTTAACAATGAAGAGACATTTCAAAGTTATTTTACTGGTTAGATTAGTTTAGGTGATGCTGCAGCAATAAAATCTGATCCAAAATCTCAGTGTCTTAACACATAACTATTTATTTTTTACTCTCAAAAAAGTCCACTGCAAATCCATCAGCTTTTCAGGGAAGGATGCTTCTAAACAAGGACATAAAGATACAGCTTTTGTCCATCTGAAGGTAGGTATCATTGCCTTCAGGTCATGGTGGCAGGTAAAGAGAGAGCTGGAGGGTCATGCAGGACTTTTAACTGTTCCAGTATGGAAATGATACATCACTTCTGTTTTCAATCCCTCTGCCAGAAGTAGTCAAATGACATCACCTAACTACAAGGGTCTGAAAAGTGAACAGGAGCACACAATGATGAACTGCAGATGTCTTCACCATATTCTACAAATAATATAAGCTTTTAAGAAACATTTTAATGAATAATAATCTTGAAAAACTCTATATGGATACAAAATATCCCTTAAATGTAATAGTTTTTATCAGCATATACATATAGATATATTTTTAAGAAACAGCTAAAGTTACGAAGCTCCAAGGTAACCTAACATGGCATTACTATAATGCTCCAACAACCTTACTGATAGATTCTGGTAATGTTAATGCAAAAATTTTGAGAGCCAATATGTTATTTATCAATTATATGTTTTCTATCTTTATAATTTTGTGATTTAAATAAAGCCAAAATGAAATCAGCTATTGAAAAATAGCTACTGAGCCTCTCATCATATCAACATATTTTGTACCTAGGACATTATAATTGGTATATCCTCTGCAATAGGTATTTTTGAGACATAAATGTATAATTTATGTTACTCTGATATATAAAAATGTAAAGTAAAAATAGGTTTTCAACATTAGTGGTAAACATGAAACAGCAACAGACACAAGGCACCAAATCTTAGTAAAATATGGGCACAGGAAGATAAAGGATATCATTATCACATGAATTTAACTCCTATTTTAATTCAATATAAATGCTTATGACAACAAATTTTTAAACATCATACTTACTAAGATTTTGGCAGTAGTTTTATGTAACAAGATACACAGCGTACTAGAGGTCTGGCACTCAACTTGCTTATAGTAAACCAGCTTCAATATGAAGGCATTAAATATGTTTTAAAAACCTTCTTTTTACATATTAAATGTTTTGGCAAGTGTGCAATTAAACACAGAGTAATGAAATTAATATACCAAGATTATGAAACTACAAACTTTAATTTCATACCCTAAGCATAAATCATATTTAAAAAGAATCATTAGTTATAAAGAATATCACTAGATAATTAAAACTTAACTGTACAAAATATGCAAAAAATTTTCAGAATTTTATTAATCAAAAAATACCAGGAACTGTTTAAAATGATTCCCTTCTGGTAGGTATCAAAGTTAATTCAATCTATGTAATATTCTAATGCTAAAGAGGTAAATGTCATAGTCTTGGGGGTTTACTTATGCTGTAACCTGCTGTCTGTTTTGTTAACCTGAAGCAGCATACAAGAACATCCCAGAATTTCATTAAGAAAAAATGGCTGCTACACTGGCAAAAATAGGATGTTAAGGATCAAAGGCACACTATTCAGCTAGCCAGAGTAGCAAACACTCTCCCCCATTGCTCGCTGCAAGCCCTTTCTCCCTGTAAAGAAAAATTTACTGAAGAATAAACAGTAAAATAAACTAAACATCTACAAAATAAGGATTTTGAGACATCAATATTAAGTCCTTCTTTCAAAAATGTTAACTATATTGTTATGATGTTTCTACTTATATTTTAAAGATGTGTATAAATCAGATATATTTGACCTTAGATATGCTTTTTCGGTCAGGATTACTCATTATCTAAAATATTTTACTTTAATTCTAATTATAACCATTAATATGACAACAGAGTTTTAGCTCCCAGAGGAATGACCACCAGGATGAAAGACAAACAAAACAAAATATTTAAGCTGCAGGCAACAAGTATGGCCTCTTCCGGCACAGTGGCATTTGAATGGCAACTCAAAGTCCAAGAATAACTCTACTAACACAGGGAAACTCATGCATTTTGGTAAATATGCCCTAACTTTCACAGTTGAAGTTTCCTTCAGACTTTGCTATTTTTTTAAAATATGAATGAATGCTTGCTTTTTTTCCTTGATGTTATCCTGACTTGTGACTTGAACCAGACTTCTTTTTTTTCTTTTTACTATGTTTCTTATGTTGTTTCTTTTTCTTCTTTACTTTTTCTATTGCTTTTTCTTTCTCTTCACACTTTCTCTTCTTTTTTGCTTGTACTTCCTCTTCATGATCTGATTCTGATGAAGACTCAGATGAAGATGGTTTATCCTCAGGATAAGTTTTCTTTCTCTTTTTGCTGAGACTTCTAATACACTTTTCTTTCCTTATTTCTACCTTTGACTTCTTTTTCTTTTTTACAGATTCCTTGCTCTCTGATTCTGGTGCAGATGTTGAGCATTCTGATGATTTGTGTGAGCGGTTCTTCTTTTTCTTTCTCTTTTTTCCTGGCTTCTTTTCTTCATTTTCTGAATCTGAAGAACTGCTTGAAGAATCAGCACTTGATGAAGATGATGACAACTGACAAGATTTCTTCTTTTTCTTTTTCTTTTTTTCTCTCTTTTTGGTTGAACTCTCACTTCCACTTAATAATTTCTCTCTGCTTTTTTCAAGCTCTTTCTTCCAACTTTCATTCATTTTTTCTTCAAATTCAGCTAAGGCCTTGGAGCCTTTCTTTTTGTTTTCTAATTGTTTCTTCACTTCTTCCCAGGTGGGCCTTGGTCGATTCAGATAATCTTGTATTGTTGGGCCTGCAGATTGAGTTGGGCCCCTCCATCTGGCCATTGCTATAGGATTCATGTAGGCCACCCGGTTATCCCGCTTTCCCATGGTGCCTTAATGTTCTCAGAGTAGATTCAGTTACCAAGGAGAACAAGATAGACACTCTCCTTAAATTCTTCATCTGCCAGTATACCAAGCATGTTCCATTCTGTAAAAGAAGCACACAGAATGATTACAAAACATCTTTAATATAAGACAAAATAAACACATAAACTTTATTCTTCACTGCTTATCACATATACTATGTAGTACAGTAGAAATTACCAAAATATTATCTTCTAAGAACAAACTATATACACATTCAAGATTTTTGCAATTACAGACACTATGGTATGAAAATAGCATAAAGTGTTTTATAAATTTCATTTAATGTTCTAACAAGTATCTAAGATGTTTAATAACTATTTTCTTTTATATTGTATGACACTTATCTTTTTCCTTTCTTTCATTCTTTCCTCAGATGCTAAGTAGAGTGAAATTTATAGTGTTAAAATCTGTATCAGGTAGACTTTCGCCAATTTAGGAAATTGCAGCAAAATCCACGGTACAAGTTTTGAGAGAAACCTGAAAGTAATACCAAACAAAACCTTCTCCCTCAAATCTCACATCCAATCCATTACTAAATCCTGCTGTTTAAACCTCTATGATAGTTTTCTTATCCCTTTATTTCTCTCTAAATATATTTTCATCAACTATCATCTCTCACTTGGACATTATGTAAATGTAAATGGATGTTTATTCTATTTATTTATTTAGTCAATTCCACCTAGTTTCAGTAATCAGTTTAAATGTCAATGCCTCAGAAGGACAACTATTAGACTTTATAAACTGTCTTATTTTATAAGACACAAACAGTTCAAACAGCAACAATTTCATATAGCTTAATGTTATACTCAAGTATGTTCCCTCTCTCAACCCCCATCCTCATTTTCTATATCCCAGCTCCTTGTTTCTTTAATGCACAACACTTATTAATTTGATAATCATTTTATTTATTTATTTGGTTGTACATGTGCACTGATACATGCAAGGCCAAGAAGGGTAAAATCCATGTTTGGCCTATCTTATTCATCATGGTGTTTCCAATATACAATGGAATGGGACCCATTCTAGATACTTAATAAATATGCTCAGTAATAAACAAAAGGAATGGATAGATGGGTAATCTGGGAGAGAGGAAAATTCAGAGGGAGGCTCTGGAGTTAGTAGTCTCTTTACAAGATTTTGAAGGATGAAGAGGAGTTCACCTAGGAAATACAGAATTGAAAGACATCTCAGGAAGAGAAAACAATATATAGTGAAACATAAGGATTTGAAAGATCATCGTGTAATTTGTTTTGATGGAGCCTAAATGTAAAAGGACAGGGACAGGAGGTAAGGTTATAGAAACAGGAAGAAGTCTAATTATAGAGGGTCTCTTGGGTCATTTGTCCTACCGTTGGTAGGGAGCCAACAAAGTATTTTTTAAAAGAGAAAGATGGTCAGATATAGCAAAGATTTTTTTGTCAGTCCCCATCAGGACCCTAACCCTTTAAGTCAACCTGATACATGTACCCTTCATAAACTCAGTGCCACAGACATTTCAGTCAATTTGGTGATAGTTCCCTGTATTGGATTTGTTGTTTTCTTCATCTTATTGTCCTTCCCCTTCAGTTCTGTCTAGTTCTTCTTAGATCTTTCTATCATTTTCATTCTTAGCCCTCTCCTAAAGACTTATCAAATATTATGGTGTCCTGGCCTTGACCAACATCAGAAGCCCTTAAGGAGTTTAGTTTATAATCAACTTCTGGTTCTTTCTGCTACTTGACACTTAAAATAGCATTGTCCACTTTAATTTCAGTTCCTTGGGACCTAATCCTGATATCATTTAGAAAGGTAGGCAAAGGCCAGTTCACAAAGGCCTTGGATACTATGCTAAGGACTCTGGAATTTATCCCGAGGGACTTACAGTGAAGCTAATGGTGATATATTGACTATTTTAAGCAGGAAAGTGATAAATTCATCTTTGAGTTAACTTTATAAACTCTGTTTAAGAAACAATTATTGTAAATTGAAAAATGGATTGGAGACAGGTAACACTTGAGGCAATGAGACCATCTAAGTATTTATGTAAATAAAAATGAAATGTCTAAATTAAAACAATAATTTGAATAAAAAGAGAAGAAAATATATGAGAGATAAAACTATTCTATGAAATTAGTGACCGATTGGATACAAAGGGTGAGAGAGAAAAGGGAATCTAGGTAAAGGTTCTGACTTGAGACACTAGATAAACGCAATGCCCAAGGACTAGATTATGTATATAATCACACAGACTTTGAGAAAAGGTTCTAGGTTCCATTTTTGTCTCAAAGTTGGAAGTACCTTTGAGATATCTGAATTAATCTGTATGGAAGAAATTCAATGTATGAGTGCTGGTACTCCATAAAGTAATCTGTGTTAAAGATATAAGAACAGCAGTCATGGAGTGAAGGTGGAAGTCATTCCTCATCTTGAAGGAGGAATTCAACTAAAAAAGAAAAGTTTAAGCCTTGTAATCGACAAACAACATATTAACAGGGAAAGGAAAGCTCATAAAGACCACGGGGTAAAAATGGGAGTTCATAACCCACTTGAATCAAATGTGTGAAATATGGTATTACCAAAACTATGTAATGTTTTGAACCACCAACAATAAAATTTTTTAAAAAAAGACCACATTGGAAAATTATCCAGAGTATATAAAAGCTAGATCAGCATCAGAAAACAAAATAAGAGCCACAGAAACACAGGGAAAATGAAGTTTCAAAGCAATTGCAATTAATCTTCATGGCTCTGTGATGCTTACATGTTTTATTAGGAGCAGATATTATCTTTATCTTTTGTTTGAGTCAGTTTTTTTTACCACTGTGACAAAAAAAAACAAAACCTGAAATGAATAATTAGAGAAGGAAAAGTTTATTTGGCTCATGGTTTTAGAGGCCTTAGACCATGAGTGACAAACTCTATAGCTTTGGGCTTGAAGTGAGGCATCACTTCATCAACATAGAAGGATGTGGAGGAATAGAATAGGTCATGACAATCAGTAAGCTCACCTGGGACAAAATGTGAACCCCAATGGAACATGCTCAGTGAACTATCGCCTACAGACACACCCTACCTTCCTACAGTTACCATACAGTTAATCCATTCAAGTGGGTTAATGCACTGATTAAGTTAAGGATATCCTAACCCAATCATATTACCTCTAAACTTTGTTGCATTGTATCACATTTGAGTTATTTGGGGTCATTTCATATCTAAACCACAACATCTTTAAAAATCCAGGAAAGAAAAAGAAAGAATGCCCTAGACAACAATATTAAATGCAAAATATAGATCAATTAAAATATAATCTGAAAAAAAATCCATTACATTTAGCTACTAAGAAGCCATTAGTAAGTCATCTTTGATAATGAGATTCCAAATAAGTAGTGAGAGCAGATAACAATGAGTTAAAGAATAACAAACTTGAGGTGATAAGATAGAGATCTAGAGTACATAGACTCAAAAAGAAGGAAAATAAAGTAAAGGTAACCATAATGATGGATGCAGAGTTATGGAAAAAAATTGTTCTTTATTTTTTTCTTACTTTTCTTTTAGTTCTTGTTTTTTTTTTTGTGTGTGTGTGTGTGTATTAAATAATCCCCATATCTAAAGTATTTATACTTGTAACTTTGCTCTTTTGTTTTCATTTTCTCTGCTGTTCTCTATATTAATGCATAATTTTTTAATGTTTTAGTTTTTTATTATTGATTTTTTATTGGTTGTTCAAAACATTACAAAGCTCTTGACATATCATATTTCATACATTAGATTCAAGTGGGTTATGAACTTCCATTTTTACCCCAAATACAGATTGCAGAATCACATCAGTTACACATCCACATTTTTACATAATGCCATATTAGTAACTGTTGTATTCTGCCACCTT